TTTAAGATATTGAATCACAACATTTATAATTTGTACACATTCTTTAAACATAAATTGTCAGTATAGTACCTATGTATGATGCAATAATAGTATAATGCAAATATTGACTTTACTTTTTCTTTTCTCGTCAATCATTTTCTTTTGCGTTCATTTTAAATAGTTTTTAACATCATCATAGTCTTTCTGTATGTCTGTAGAATTGCCATATTTAATATTATTAATGTTAATAAAATAATAACCAATGATAACGATGGACTAAGATTAATTTTAACGATTAGCATTAGATTACCTAGTCTTATTTTACTGTGCACGCTGAAACAAACGAATCAACGAAGTAACGAACCATTATAATACTATAGGTATTTTCTCTATTAAATTTTGAAGAAGTCGCGCAATCGATTATAAATACGATATTTTTAGATTCTGAATGTAACAATGTATTGATTTTACAATGATGAGTTTTTTTTAATATTTTTATTTGTTTAGTTTTTTTTTTTTGTGTCATCACCTTTTAGGACAACAAAAGAAAAATTAAGGAAAAAAAATATGATTTTTAAGCAAAATTGGTGACAAAATTGATTTTTGTTTTTGGTGTACACAATAAATAACAGTAGATACATGCAATTTTCACCAAGTGTGTATATTAACATTTTCTATACGCGATAATATTTTGACTTGTTTTAAGCTGTTTATGGAAATTTTCAGTTTCCAATATTACCTTAATAATAAAACCAATAATACCTTTTTATCGGTATTCCATACTTTGGTTAAGTTTAAGAATATACATTATTATTTATTTAATTATAAAATATATAATATGTATAATTACACTTGTTTAGGGAGATTAAACAATAATGATACATGTACATTTATTTATTTATCGTTCAAAATTACTAATTAAAATTTGTCATTTTATAGGCATATCGAACTGGTGATCAACTTGTCAATTGCCCATAAAACTTGAAAACCTTAAAGTGGAAATGTAAGTGATTTACAAATTAATATTTAAAACTATTTTTATATATTTAGAATTCAATTTCTAAACTTATCATAAAGAAAATGGAATTAACTGCATCATTTTTTTTAAATTTAGTGTTTAATGTTTCTTAGAGTTTTAGAGTTAAATATTGGACATTGAAAATAAAATATCGAAAATCGACTCCTATACAAACCTAGATAAACTCCTTCTCTTCAATTTGTATGATAGGTGTTCATACATTAATGTCACTCAGTAAGCTATATTATTGGAAATACGAAACTAAGTTTCGGTGTTTCACTAAAATTCACATTTGTAATAAATTAGAGTGTAAAATGTTCCGCTAATGACATGTGCGTGCACGTGCGGGTGTGCTCCACTATTTATTTTATACACAGTCACCCACACAAATAATCACTTACAACGCACACATTTACACGACCCGCATGCACACCATTAGAAAATTGCCTATACCGAACTCCTTAGAAACGGTCGGTATGCATACCCCTTAACGCTGTACACAAGAGGCTATCAAAAGTACATTATAAGTAAGAGGTGTTCTAAAATAGCTGCAGCAGCAATTTTAAACTGTTAAATATTTAATTATTTCATTTTTGTTAACTTTAATCAGAAATCTTAAAGTTGGACTATAATAATATGCTTACAATTAATTGTCTAGACTAAAACATTTAATTTATTGTTATTATTTTGTTTTCAAATGAAATTGATTTGTGTTTGTGTAATTTCGTTTTTCAAATTTATCAGTCAAATAATGTGAGCATGATTAAGATTAAAAATAATATTTCAATACAATAATATACTATACTTTACACATATTATTACATATTTTATATTTGATCTACGACTTTGATTTATCCATGAAATTTCCGTCATTGACCCTGGAAAATGTAATCTCCCATATCATAATATATTAAATTCTTATGTTAACTACTATGGATTGTTTCTGATGTCAAATTTACTCACACAAATAGATAAAATGTATCCTTGGGTAATCAAAAATGATAAATTTTTTAATGTAATATAATATTTCAAATAATGTATTTATGAAACTTTGTCATTTTATTTCCTCCTTGAGCATATAAATCAGAATTATAGGTACATTTGAATTTAGAATTTTTTTTTTATGGATGTACCTAACTTTTAATTAATTTTGTGATCCAAACAAAACATCCGTGATTTACTTGAATAATTATGTTGTTGTATTGTTTGAATATAGGGGAAGTAGTCAAGTTATGAAAAGTCTATAGCAAAGTAATCTAGTTCATCAGTACTCCGAAATCCTTGAGTCCTGGGTTTTTTTTTAATATTACTTAATTATTATTTTCAGTTTCAGCTTGGAATAATCTTATTAATTATGTTTGATACTTTTTTATTCACTGTATCTGCTATAATTTTTACTAATTAATCTAATAACATAAAATAATATAGAAAGTTTTGTTACTTAAGTTAATTCCAAAACAAAATGTAAATTTATATTAATTTTATAAAATTGTTAAGGGGAATGCATACCGACCGTTTCTATGGAGTTCGGTATAGGCAATTTTCTAATGGTGTGCATGCGGGTCGTGTAAATGTGTGCGTAGTAAGTGATTATTAGTGTGGGTGACTGTGTATAAAATAAATAGTGGAGCACACCCGCACGTGCACGCACATGTCATTAACGGAACATTTTACACTCTAATTACAAATGTGAATTTTAGTGAAACACTGAAACTTAGTTTCGTATTTAAAATAATATAGCTTACTGAGTGACATTACAGTATGAACACCTATTATACAAATTGAAGAGAAGGAGTTTATCTAGGCTTGTATAGGAGTCGATTTTCGATATTTTATTTTCAATGTCAAATATTTAACTCTAAAACTTATGATATTTTACTTTTTGAATTTGAATTATTGAGTTTAGTAATTACAAATATTAACATTTGACTTCTATACAGGCACAGATTAACTTCTCTTCTAAAATATTGATAATAGGTGTTTTTACTCTCAAACCGCTTAATAAACCATATTATTGGAAATACAAAAGTACATTTTTATAGATTTTTTCAATACTATTCATACCCCTTAATGTAGTAGTCAGGCGCGGATTCAGGGGGGGGGCTATGGGTGCTCGGGCACCCCCTGTCGTCTAAGGCATTCTAAGCCACTAATAAAATACATTTGTATCCAAAATTCTAAAATAGAAAGATGTAACCATTTTTTTTTTAGATTCTGAGAGGAGCGATGTGTGGATGATTTTATACATTTTTAAATTATTTTTTTTTTGTTTCTGTCATCACCGTATTTGGGGCAGTGCAACAGCTTCGATTTTTTTCAACAGTACCTATCTCGATCGATTGGAAAGTGAATATAGTTGGTTCATTCAGAAGGTCAAAATTTAAAATTCTAATAGTTTTAAAAGCGCCTAGAATAACAAAATAACAGCTAATGGCCATAGTTGCCGAAGCTTAAGATCAATAAAAAAAAAAAATAAAATAAAAACTAAGGAAAAATGGGAATTTTTAAGCAAATTAGTTTTCAACAAAATCAATTTTGGTTTTTGGTGTAACTCTAAAACAAATAACCGTAGATACATGCAATTTTCACTGAATGATTATATTAGCATTAAATTCTGTACACGATAAAATCCACGAGATCAAAATATTTTGATTTATTTTGAGCTGTTTACAGAAATAATACATTTTCAGTTTTTTTTTAGTTTTTTTTTTATGATAGCCAATAAAATTTTATTGTTGGGTTCAAAAGCTTGAAAATGTAATACAAGGCTCTTAATATATTGTTACAATGACATTTGAAAAATATTAAATAAACAGTCACAAAATATCTACCAGAAAGTCAAATTACATTTTTACATTATTGGATATTCTCTTGATTTCTCATGTAGGCATGTAGCGATTTTCTTATTTTGTTGTAATTCAAACACGAATAACTGTAGATACTTGAATTTTACACCATATAATAACTTATCAATTCCCATACTTGATAAAATGTACAAAATATTTTGACCTGTTTTGAGCTGTTTACGGACATTTAAAATTTTTTTTGTTTTTTTTTTCAATTGTCAATATAATTTCATTTTTTGGGTCAAAAAGGGTCAACATTTAATACGAGGCTCCTGCTATATTTTTACTTTAATAGTTGAAAAATTTTTAAAATACATATAAGTAACATATTTTTTATAAGCATTTAAAGTTTGAATTTTGACAAAATGTGTCTAATTTTGAATTTTAAAATTATTTTGTAGTTAAAAATGTATAAAATGTTTAGCTTTCATAGCTAAGGATTGACAATTTAAAACAAAGTTCCACTTAAATATTTAAATAAATTACTTTATTCACAAAAATATCATCAAATACATATACTTAGTAATAATATTATAGCCTGACTGACTGTCTTCGCTCAGAATAGTTTTTCTTATACAGTGATATCGTATCATTGAATTCAAATTTAACACTATCCATTACAGACTACAGTGATCCAATTGTAACCTACTGTATAGCAGAAAGACACCCACTCGCCCACCTTTTTGTGTGAGCACCCCCTGTGAAAATCTTCTGGATCCGCGCCTGATAGTAGTTATATTTATAATATCCACTATAAATGTTTGCTTTAATAAATATATAAGACATTGCCTATTATAATACATACATTTTCATAAATCTTTAAATTTATTAACATAACTAGATATCTACTTGTACCCATTATTATTTCAATGACTAGGAGTAATATCATCATTTACTAAGTTTACCCTTGGTAAACTTATTTAATTGAATACATTACTGTCCATGTATACTAGGTATTATTTTTAACCTTTTAGTTAATTTATTGCTGTTATTTTTTCCATGTGATTATAGGTGTATAATTTATAACTCATTATAAAATAATTGCCTAAATAATTATTAATATTTATTTAAATTATTATATTTATAGTTTTATTTTATATAACTAGTTGTTTTTGTTTTTGTTTTTAGACTTACCTGGCCCTATAACAGTGATAAAAATGAGTTACATTGTTGTAAGAAGCGTTTCCAATTTAGGGGAAATAGTGGAAGTTACTACTGAGTACCCTGAATTAACTATAACCAGAATTGGTTACTCTAATGTTTTCGATGAAGTCACTTCAACCGACATAACCTCTCGCCATCAAATAAACATGGACGGAGTTATTGTTGAAAACCAGGAATCAGAAGATATCAATACTATAGATATTGAAAATCGAAATAAATTGTATGATACCATTGAAATCACTTATGATACAGATGAAGAGACAGAACAGGTACAAGCCGAACAGATTGTTACAGTAAATATTGATGGTACGACAGACGATATCATTGATATCACTTCTGATACAGAAGAGATAGAAGTCAGACAGATTGCTCCATTAGTTAATCTGAGATGTCTGCGATTCATAAGAGATCGCAAAAGAACTTTTCCCACTTATTACAAAGAAAAAGTATTTGATGAATTGATAAATATTTTAAGTAATAAAACAGAAGACGATATTCTCATTCCTATTAGAGAAGAAGAACCCATCTTCTATAATTTACGTGTAAGAGACTTAATGAGTTTACTAATGCCGAAAGGTTGGCTGAAGGATTCTGTTGTTCAGGATTATCTCGCACTAGTGCTTCATGAAAAAGAAACAACAAGGCCAATGTATACAGACTTTTTAGTTGCTTATAAAACGCGTGGGTATGATAATGCTTTAAAGTATTTAAAAAACTATAATTTAAATATTGTCAACACAATTGTATTTCCGATCAATCCTGGTGGGAATCACTGGGCCTTAATTGTTGTTGAAATTTGGGAGGGTAAAATGCACGTTTTCGATAGTCTTAGACCAGAGTCGCTTATGGGCGATTTGAAATTATTACGTGAATTTTTTAATCAGGCACTCGTAGATATCATTAATTCAGAAGATTCTGGTGTGCAGAGGACTCCTCCTGCAGATTGGATATTTATTGATGCCGGGTCTCCTAAACAAGAAAATGATCATGACTGTGGTGTATTCACGTGTGTGAATGCAAGGTATTTTTTAACGGATACACCACGGCCAATGAAGTTCACCCAGAAATACATACCAGTGTACAGGCAGATGATTGCCTGGGAACTGATGAAATGGAAACTTGACTCTTGAAATTTTTAATATTCCTTTTTAACTGATTATTTTTTTAATAGTTTTTATTGTTAAAACATACTATATTGTGTATTGTTATATAATATATATTATGTTTATGTATATTTGAATTGTTGAAACATAATTATGATTATTAATTTTGAACCCGGTAAGAGACTTACAAACCAGGGTAATAATTGTTTTTTTTTTTTTTTTACTTTTGTATGTGTAATATATATATATAGTATATAAGTGTAAATTTCTGGCAACATAAAATGAATTCACTATTTTAATCGTTGTGATGTCATTTTATAATAGTACATTGCAATGCTGGCTGTGTTTGTATTTAAAACTAAACTGTCGGTAGAAGACGATGATATTTTGGTTTTGCTATATTATTTTCTTGGGCTTAAGACTGTCACAACGTAACATATGCGACTGAAAAATATCAGATGTATGATACGCCTCTCGTGTTTTTTAGCCTGGAGACACTTATTATCACTACCTAACTGAATGATTACTTACAATATCGGCTAGATATTTATGTAACTGTATAATTTTTATGTAATCATATGTTAGGTAGGTATTAATTTTAATGACTTTTGTGTTTTTTTTAATTCAATATTGTATTTGTATATGGTTCGTTTGTTTACACATCAATTGTACTTAACATTATTATTATTTAGTTTTAAATATTGAATAACATGTAAAAGAAATAAAAAAAAAAATGTTATTTGCACGGAAAACAATAAGTTAGGTTAGTAGTAGTAAATAGTAATCTTATGACATTATGTTTAAAAGTAAAATGTATCATTTATAATATCTTATTATTTGTATTATCATTGATTGCTAAAAATGTGTATGTTGTACTTAATACAATATTAATGTGTACCTAGTTTTAATTCAGAATAAAATAAAGAAAAAAACACTTGAAAGAGCAACTGAATAATTGTCGTTCTTTATTTCTAAAGAAATGGAATTGTGTGGATACAGAAAATATTTTTCTTTTATGTAATTATACGGCAGTGCCGTGCTCACTATTTGATTTTAGCTTAACTGTACAATTTATGTTCCTAGTATTTTACATTTTTTTAAACTGTATAGATTTAAAAAAAAAATCTAATATATTAATCTTAATATTACTAAACTCAGTAATTTATGATTACTAAAACGATAATATGTAAGGAAAATAAAATTGTGATGTTTGATGATGACAGGAAGGGTAAATCCACTCTGGTCTCTGACCCACCTCACACTTATACATCACTGTTAAAATATTGTGCTTGTTGAACAAAAAAATTATATTTGAGGTGGTTAGGTAAGATCATTATAATAGGTATTTAATATACTACAGCTTACTTGGCTAATACTCAAATTAATCACCTCTTTTTGTTAATGACTACATTTCAGACTATCAAAATGCAGTATGGTTACAGCCTTTGGTATAGTTGGTACTTTGGTACCTACTAATTTTTATATTTTAATGAAATGTTGAATGCTACCTTTTAGGTGGTCATTACACTTTTATTACATACTAGATGTTTGTTTTTAAATTATTTATTTATATTATCTGAAGATGGACTTAGGCCAACATTTTTTGTTTGATATAATTTATGTTACTTTTGGTGTTTATACATTTTTAGATTCTGAGTGAAACGATGAATGTATTGATTTTACAATGATGTATTTTTTTTTTTTAATTTTTAATTTTTTTTTGTGTCTGTCATCGCGTTTTAGGACAGTAAAAGTGCTTGGATTTTCTTCAACAGTAGCTTTTCTGATGGGAAAGTGAATCTAGTTGGTACTTTAGGGGGTCAAAAGTGGAAATTTAACAGTAGTTTTCAAAAGCGCCGTGAAAAACAAAAGAAAAATTAAGGAAAAACGGAAATTTTTACTCAAAATTTGTTTTCAAGAAAATCGATTTTGGTTTTTGGTGTAACAAATGTTTTTGGTAAAACAAATGACCGTAGATAAGTGAAATTTTCACTGGTTGTTTATATTAGCATTTTTTATACACCAAACAAAAAATGTCTAAATATTTTTTAGTTTTAGATTCTGAGTGGAGCAATAAATATATTGCTAATATAATATATTTTCTATACACGATAAAATTTTCAAAATGTTTTGATTTACTTTGAATGGTTTAGGCACATTTTCATTTTCCATTTTTTTTTAGTTTTTTTCTAAAAATATCAATAAAATTTTATTTGTTGGTTGCGAAAGCTTGAAAATGTAATACAAGGCTCCTACTAAATGGTTTCAAAGGCAGATGTAAAATATTAAAAATCCTTAGTCACAGTTTTTTTTTATAAGCATTTAAAGTCCAAAAATTGACAAAATAAGGAAAAATCACGAAAATTCGCAAATTATTTTGAGTTAAGAAATCGTAAAAATTTTTCTTTTTAAATCTAAGTTTTGAAAATGTGATACAAGTTTCCTTATAAGATTATCTACCTTTATCAATAAAAAAATCTCTACCGGAAAGTCAAATTAAATTTTTATGAGCATTTGAAATTCAAATTTTTACAATATTGGATATTCACTCGATTTCTCGTGTAGCGATTTCCTTATTTTGTTGTAATTCAAAAACGATTGACTGTAGATACATGAAAATTTCACTGAATGTTTATATTAGCACTTCCTATACACCATACAATTTTGAAAATATATTGACTATTTTTGAGCTGTTTACGGACATTTTGAGTTTTCAATTATTTTAGTTTTTTTTTCTTTAAATATCAATAAAGTTATATCGGTTGGGCCAAAAAATGTAAAAATTTAATACAAAGCTCCTGATATATTGTTACAATATCAGTTGAAAAATATTAAAAATACATACTCCCAATTTTTTTTTATAAGTATTTAAAGATCAAATGTTGACAAAAATTTATCAAATTTAAAATTGAATAATTATTTTGTAGTTAATAATTTATAAAATGTTCAAATTTTATAGCTAAGGATTGAAAATTTAAAACAAGATTCCACATAAGTAGTAGTTAATCCTGTTAATAAAAAATCTAAAAAATACATACTCGCAGTATATTTTATTGTCATTTTAAGTTTAAATTTGGATGAAATTACATAAAAAAAACCTTGAGTAACTATTTTAGTTATTTCGTTGTGATTGTATATTATTATTCGTGGGTACATGAAATTTCTTAAGTACACTATTATATATCTATGATAGTATCAGGGTTTGCTGTTGATGTATAACCCGTTATATGTACCTAATGGATATTATTGTGATATGATTAATTTGGAGTTTTGTTATAGGTATCTATTATATTTTAATAACAATAATTTTTTTTAATACCATAGATAAGTATATAATATGTCTTATACCTACACTGACATACCGTCTCCGCTCAGAATCGTTTTTCTTATACAATGATATTATATCATTGAATTCAAATTTAATACTATCCATTATAGTACAGCAGAGCACCTTTTTTAAATTAATTATATTATAATACACTGGGTAATTTTCTAATATTTTTATCATTACATTATTATAAATTATGACAATTTATGACATGATAATATGTTATTGTTTTATCATGAACTGTTACGTGTACAATTTACCCAAAACACTTCTTGTTAAAAAATAAATTTGTAACTATAATAAAAAAATAAAATTAATTTAAAGTCTAAAAAGTATGTATTTTAATTTAAAGGATCGTGCTTGAACATATTTACTACATCAAGCACAAAATATTATGGCTCTTTAAGTCAATTAATAAGTTTACTCTCTACAAGAACAAAAATTCAATATTTTTTTGATTGTCTTTAGTCATTACAAAGTAGAGGTGGATAGGGACAAAGACAATCTATGGAATATAATTTATCATTTTAGGTGTTGATGATAATCAATTTTATAAACTGTGAACAAAAAAAGGTGCTCTACTGTACAGTAGGCTACAAGTGGGTCACTGTATAATGGATGATATTAAATTTGAATTCCACGATATAATATCATTGCATAAGAAAAACGATTCTGAGTGGAGTCGGTATGTCAGTCTAGGTATAAGACATATTATATACATATCTATGATATTAAACAAAAAATTGACCTATAATAGGTATCTATTATAAATTCCAAATTAATCATTTCACAATATCCATTAGGTACTTATAACGCGTTATACATTAAACAAAAACCGTGATACTATCATAGATATATAATAGTACACTTACAAATTGTGCCTAAGTATTTTCAATGTTTTTGAACTGATATTGTAATAATATATCAGGAGTCTTGTATTCAATTTTTACACTTTTTGGCCCAACAGATAAAACTTAATTGATATTTATAGAAAAAAAAACTAAAAAAATTGAAAACTGAAAATGTCCGTAAACAGCTCAAAAAGAGTCAAAATATTTAAAAAATTTTATGGTTTATAGAAAATGCTAATTTAAACATTCAATAAAATTTTCATGTATCTACAGTTGTTCGTTTTTTAATTTTATTACTTAAAAACAAACTGTGATACTTATACTTATAAATATAACTACATACAGTAAACAACTATGTTTAAAACTTTAACAGTCCACAAATTAGAATAATTTGGTATACATATAAAATACTTATACTCACATTCACATATACTGCTGTATGGGACATGGGTAATAACATAAAATAAATAGAAAATTAATTTTTAATTTTATATAATGATTATGATATTTGACCCCCTGCGGACGCCATCATTGATCGATGATATATTAATTATTAAGTAATGCAATATATAAATAAATGTTGGTAACTATTATTGTTTACTTAATTTATATAATATATATATTTATTATTTTTAAAATAATAATGTTACACAAATATTTATTATATAACACAATCAGGGGCGCATTATTTCAGGTTTTTTTTTTGGGCGTGCGAGGGTTCAAGCAGGTCATTTTGAAATTTCACAAGGCCATATAAAAATTAAAAATATATAATATACATAGATATATGTACATTATCCTGCTTTCAATTATTTGTATATATCATGAACCGAATCATTGCATCAAAATCAATAGTAAAAATCAATTAAAAAACTAAAATATAATAAATAACTAATTACCTTAACAGTGAAAACCAATAATAACCGATGGATAAAAAGTTAGAAGAAGGATTAATGCAGCAGCAAATAAAAAATTACTTATTATCTACATTTATAAATTTATTCTTTATTTGTATACCTATAATTTTGGTTAAAATAAAAATAAAAAAATATAAAAACACACATCATTGTAAAACCAATACATTCATCGCTCCGCTCAGAATCTAAAAGGTGGGTAAGTGGGTGTCGCTCTGCTGTACAGTAGGTTACAAGTGGGTCATTGTATAATGGATGGTATTACATTTGAATTCAATGATATTATATCATTGTATAAGAAAAACGATTCTGAGCGGAGACGGAATGTCCTTCTAGGTATAAGACATATTATATACTTATCTATGGTATTAAAAAAAATTGACCTATAATGAATTCTAAATTAATCATATCACAATATCCATTAGGTACTTATAACGCGTTATACACCAACAACAAACCCTGATACTATCATAGATATATAGTAGTATACTTTAGAAATTTCAAGTACCCACGAATAATATTATACAATCACAACAAAATAACTAAAATAGTTATTCTAGGTTTTTTATTATGTAATTTGGTCCAAATTTGAATTTAAAATGTCTGTAAAAAATAACTGTGTTCATATATTTTTTAGATTTTTTGGTTACAGTATGAACTAGAACTAAGAACTAGAACTAAAAAATTGAAAGCGGTAAATGTCCGTAAATAGCTCAAAAAGAGTCAAATTATTTTAAAATTTTAAATATTTTCAAAATTTTATGGTGTATAGAAAATACCAATTTAAACATTCAGTGAAATTTTCATGTATTTACACTTGTTCGTTTTTGAATTACAACAAAATAAGGAAATCGCTACATGAGAAATGTTGTCATAATTTGAATTTCAAACGCTCATAAAAATTTAATTTGACTTTCTTATAGACATTTTTTTTTTGGATAAAGGTAGATGATAATCTTATAAGGAATCTTGTATTACATTTTCAAATCTTAGAATTAAAAAGAAAAATTTTTATGAATTCTTAACTCAAAATAATTTGCTAATTTTCGTGATTTTTACGTATTTTGTCAATTTTTGAACTTTAAATGCTTATAAATAAAAACTATGACTAAGGATTTTTAATATTTTTCATCTACCTTTGAAACAATACAGTAGGAGCCTTCTATTAAATTTTCAAGTTTTTTTAACCAACAAATAAAATTTTATTGATATTTCTAGAAAAAAAACTAAAAAAAAATGGAAAATGAAAATGCCCCTAACTGTTCAAAATAAATCTAAATATTTTGAAAATGTTATGGTGTATAGAAAATTCAAATATAAACAACCAGTGAAAATTTCATTAATAGACGTTCATTTGTTTTGGATTTACACCAATAATGAAAATCGATTTTTTGGAAAACCCATGTTGCATAAAATGTCCCGTTTTTCCTTAATTTGTATGTTGTTTTTCCCGCCGCTTGTGAAAACTAATGGGAAATTTTTACTTTTGACCCCCCAAAGTACCAACTAGATTCACTTTCCTATCAGAAAAGCTACTGTTGAAGAAAATCCAAGCCTTTTTACTGTCCTAAAAAGTGATGACAGACACAAACAAAAAATTTAAAAAAAATTAAAAAATTAAAAATAAAAATAAAAAAAAAAACACACATCATTGTAAAATCAATACATTCATCGTTTCACTCAGAATCTAAAATGTGAAAAGGAAAAAAATTGCAATTTCATATAAATCCACGCTCTAGTTATAACTTATATAATCTCAAAATAAATAATTAAAATATAAATATTAAATATGTAGGTAATAATGATTCTGGCATTCTATTTTACCAACTTATCATCGTTTATATCTATATTATAAAATATCAGTATTCTATGTAAATGTTATCATAAATCATAATACTGGAATATTTAATATTTACTCCTATTGATAAATGATCGCCATGATTACCAGATCTAATAATATTATTCATGGACATGTATAAGAATGTTGGTATCTTTGTGACATAAATTTATTATGATAATTTCTAAATAATATTATTTATTGATTTTTAGCAGGCATGGATTTCAGTAAAAGTATATTATATAAAAAACAAGAAAAATGTTCTTGTTATTTTAATTATTCAAAATGTTTACATTTAAAGTCCATACATTATTTTCCGATAAATATTTTATTTTTATTATTCATAGTACCTACCTATAATTTAATTATATTAAAACATCATTTTATAATTAAATTACAGGGATAAGTGTATTCACTAATGCACCAATTACAACGAATAACACACAACAAAATCAAGACAATTACCCAAAGTTTGTGAAGATGTAGAAAGTTTAAAAAGTAAGAAATCAGGAATTAAATTCATGTTTTGAAACTTTCTATGAAAACGCTATTATAATGTATATTATTATATATATTATTTTATGTTCTTTTATGCAATATAGGTAGATTTGGATTTAAATCAATTGGTAGACACCAAGTACCCTATATCATTAGAGTAATTAACGGTGAACCGTTAAAATTTGTATCGGTACGTATGGCTGAAATTCGGTTACTCAGCAAATATTTATATTATTTACATCAAGATATTCACACATGCGCATCTGTAAGAAGCAATTTTATCACTGAAGCGGAAGCTAACTTATTAAATTTTATCAACCAAAAACATGCCAAATGTTTATACGGGAAAGAACTGTTTTTTGCAGGGAAAGATTATATTGTGCATTTAAGAGATGTTCTTGAATTTAATACGTTCTTAGAAGTATGTTGTGCAAAATTAATGTACAATATTACTCCAGGCGGCAAAGAGAAATGTGGATTTATTCGCATTAATAACTTTGAACCTGCTGTGCCATATTGTGTTAAAGATTACCAAAAATATGTCCCGCTCTTCTGCTTTGAAGGCCTAACAGAAAACCAAAAACAACGAGCTATAAAATTAGAAAACTGGAACTTGGCCTATCTCAAGTTCTGTTTAAAGATTAAGTGTATGATGAGAAATGAGTTTTATGCCAGTGAATCTTGCACAGTGATCAGCCTCGATGACATCAAAAATAATTTCCCACCCGAAACTAATTTTGAGGAATATTGGCCAGCTCATCTGGCTGATACATACGTCTTTCTTAATAAGAAGTTTAAAAGTGTAAATCCACAAGCAGGTGCCTGGATCAGAGCACCCCTTGAAGTAGTACCTGCTGAAAATACTATTGCTCACACTTTAACAGCACCATCACCATTACCACCGAGTATGCCAGTTATGACGAACACATATCAAAACGGATTGCCAGCAAACCAAATGGTATGAATTATGTTATATATTATTATATAAATATATATATTAAATTGCTTTTTTATTTTTAGCTCTTTAAATAAATTGTTGCTTGTGTTTTCACAATGTATTCAAATGTATCATTTATTTTATGCTTATAATTATTTTTAGTATGAATCATTAAATATTAATAAATAATGTATCTATTTATAAAAAGGTCCATCAATTAAAAATTTTATATTTTGTACCTAACAAAATTATATAAATATGGGAAATACGGTTTAAAGGCTTTTAATTTTTACATTCAATTTTGCTTTCTTTTGTTTTATTTAATTATACCACACAGTGGTACCAGGTGTCGTGCATGCTTTTCAAAAAACAATTTTTTTTCTTTACAATCAGCCTGTATTCTCAATAAATAAATAATATTTTTGTAGGTTAATTCATATAGCACTCAGCAGACATCAACTTGTGCCTATTCTATTGTATTCTATTGCCCAGTGCTATAGTTCGGTATTTATTTTTCAACTTTCTTAATTTTTTTTTTCTCCACTTATTCCTCACCCAGAAATACTCAATAAATTGTATGTAGTTCAAAGCTCAAGCTCTAAACTATTTTTGATTTTATAATTTTGTCTCCATTAAAGAAATAACGTTCTTGTATTTTTTTTTAATACAAATAATTTGTATAAAATAATGGATAAAAAATTATTATAATTTCTCAGTTGGTAATTCAAACAATTAACATTTTTTTTGTACACGTTTTTGTTGACTAAAAGTAATATTGATATATTAATAAATAATAATTATAAAATAAATTATATAGCTTTTCTTTTCTTTGAAATTGTTTTAAAATTACGAGTCCAGCTTTTAATATGTTGGATCATTTTATAATTTAATATATTTTGATGCTTCATTAAAATTAATTTAAAGTTTAATAAAAGTATTGACTACAACAAGTTTTGCATGTGTGATGTAATAATTAATTGTTTGAATTTAATAGTGGGTATTAATATTACATTGTGGGTTATGTAATAAATATTAGTAAATTAACAGTTTTTTATACTTAGTTTTTATTTGATTTTCAGGGTTCAACGGTGTCTCAAGTCAGCAGTTTGGTAAACAGTGAGGGTCATGTTGTACCACCACCGCCTTTAGTCCGTGCAGGCAATACGACACCAGTAATTGGGTAAGTGTTATCAAAATAATACAAATAATCAAATTTGTAAATACCTAAAAACAGAAAAAAAATTATTTATGTTTATAGTAATACCGTCTCATACTCCAACTCTGTACCTATTAGCCAATCTATGATACCTGTGTACAATCCAATGCTAATTGACAATGTAATGTCAAATGTAATTGAAAGGAGATTGACGAGAATGCCGGAACAGATGTGGTCATATTACACATCTAATAATGCTGCGTACAACGTTAATGATATTTAATATTTTAAGATTTACTGAATTCATTGGGGCCTACAATAAAATAATATTATTTTTCATACCTCTGTAAGATATAAAATCTTGGTACCTTTATACCTTTTTTTTTTTTAACAAATATATATTTATTTACAAAAATAGCATGTGTATCACTTCAGCCAATTTTTTATCACGTAGATAAGTTGATAATGTTCATTAATAAACATATGATAGTTACTATGGATTAATATTTTAATTTTATTGACGGTTTTTAATAAATGTCTTGTATTTATATGTAGCTTTCCATATTAATAGAGATTAGTTTCTCTAGGCTGATTATTTCAATTTGTGTAGTTTTTCTGTACCTAAAATAAATGGGTGTGCAGTATTTAAAATTGATAAAAATGTTATTTTTTCAATAACTTAATATTTGTGGAATATTTTTTAACTTCTTACAATAATTGTTTCAACATTTATTGTTTGATCAATTGGGATATAACAAAAAGTAACAGGCCTGTATGTTATTAAATTAAATTCAGAGTAGTATTAACACAAAAAATTACTATTTCAATTTATTTGCTATATAGAATACCGAAAATTTGTTTTTAAAATTTTCATAATACTTGTAATACGTCCGCCAGTTTGTATTTAAAAAATAAATAATATTTATATATCCAGCGCGACGGTAGTGGCGCGAAGCTAAGTAAAAAAAAATAGCGGAGTAGCCACTAACGTATAATAACAGGACACCGAGTTTTAACATTGAAAAATCGTCCTAATTTATGTCAATTCTTTGCCAAGCTCTACAGCGCAAACGGCTGAACATATAAAGTCGTATGAGGTATCAATCGATCATAAATATTGTGCAGATGGGAACAGAGGAATTCGCTAGCAGATTGGTTTTATAGTTTATAAGTTATAAGCAAAAATTTCCAAGTACTATTAAGACCGATTTTGCGTACGGAACAGCTACAGATCGGTGGATCGGGGAACGAAAATATCGTAAATATCCCCCGACCCGCCGCTTATCCATTCCCATTACTCTCATCGCGGCGGCGGCAACGACGTACGACGATTGGCGATTGCGACGGCGCGGTCTCTCGGATACCGGTCGTTGGCAACGATTTCGTGTATTGCTGATGACTGACGAGTGACGACCAGCAAGATAGTATAATAATATAGATTATAGGTACTTTCTGACGACTCAACGACTGTGATTGTTTAGTGAATTCGTGATCCAGCTCGACGGTATCATATTATTTTGCTAAAAACTTGGAAAAATAATAAAATAAAATAGGAAATCTGATGATTAATTCAGTACCCATGGCAACAATTAAGGTCGATGGCAAATCATATGCTCTTAATTCTGTGATTTACCAATTACCATCATGGTCCATCTATGACTCTCAAGTCTCAAGCCCATTACACATCAGTTATTAAACATAATGATAAAATATTGGTTAGATGTAACGATATAATATTTATATTCTAGTTTTAGAAAAAAAAAACTAATATAGAAAAAAAGATATGACAACAGGAGGCCAACGATGCATATTATGCTATTATGGATTACTATTATTATATACAATAAAATAAAATCGTGACTTTTTTCATAAAAAAAATAGCTGCTATCACACCAAAAACACTTCGTTATAACTCCGTGTAAAAAAAAAGCTAAGTTAAAAAAAAAAATTTAGTCATGATTAAATCTTTAAAAGACGTGATATAATATGGAAATTAAGTAAAATTACATTTTATAATATTACAAATACCTATGATGACAAATAAGTTCAATTGTAATGTTAAAACATATTATGTTTAACTATTTGGCAGGATGCAGAAGTATACTTAAATAAATACAATTAAGTAATCAATACAGAGTTTACAGTAATTAATAATGTATCAACAATATTATGTTGACTATAAGTATTTAACATTACTATTGATCTGATAAGTATAATAAATTTAAAAAAAAATGGTAACACGTTTTGAAAAATGAGTTGCTATAAAATAATTATTACTGATACAAAGACTATATAAAAATCACAGCAACATCAACGTATTTAAATTATAATAATAAAAAACTCACAGTTTTTCGGAGATCAGTCTGGCCAGCTTATAATAGCTATAATAGTGGAACAACTGGCAAAAGAATAACATAAATTTGAATAATATATATAGGTTGCCCTTTATGGATCACAATAATAATATACTCAGTAATTAGCATCGACCAAAATCAATATTTATAATATACTTACGAATTAATAATAACGTAAAACAAGCCATGTCGATACACGCCTGGTTATGATACAATATGCGGCGATTCACGCCCATGGTAGAATAGAGAACTTACGGCGATTCGCGCTCGTAAAATAATATAATACTTACAATAGCCTAACACTGGTGATTGTGCCTTGGCAATTAATACAAATAATATACATTATCATTTAAAGAACACTGCCGATTCGAGACTCACAATATAATTTATAACTTACCTACCTACCTACCTAATTTTTTTATAACATTTTCAAAATGTTTAAACACGCAGTACGTACCAATAATCAAATTTATTTTTTCAAATGGTAACCACTATATTTTTGGTAAAGCTTTTTTTTGAACCTTTTGACAGTCGAATAATCAATTTTGGTTTCGCTAAGTTATTAACTATGGTCCTCTAAAGTTTAGTATAATATGCATGAATACTTTTAACTAAAATAAATAATTTTTCCTTATAAAACTGAAATAGTTAAATAGGTAATCTAAAATGCTCAAGTAAAAAAAAACAAACGAAATTGTTGGCAAACATAGTTCATTATTTATAGTAATTTTTTGTGCTATAAATTGAGAACAATTTTATTTTATAATTATTAATAATAATTTATCTACCTACTTAAATTATTATTTTTTTTGAAAACTGTATTTGAAGCGTTAAAAACATATATTTTGGGAATAGAGATGGGTCCCCAGTTTTAATCAATGGGCCCGGGGTCCGTGCGGCACTTGGCCTTCTCTTTAATCCGAGCTTGCACATAGTTCTAGTCTCGGTAATAATATCGTTTTTAACGGTGCGACCTTAGATTTGGTGCATATAGTCTCACTGTGTGTGTACCTAATTCATCCGTACTGAAGTTGAAATACCGAAAAACAATATTTGTGTCAATTAATAATTTGAGCTCGTGATTAGACATGTGCGTGAATCCCGCTGCGGTCGCCACTTTTGCAACATTTGAGTTTCAAGTAGGAATATGAAAAATATTATATTATTTTACTGTACAGTAGGTTACAAGTGGGTCACTGTATAATCAGGCACGGCACTAGAATTTTTTTCCAGGGGGGGCAGAGTGGGGCAAATATTTTTTTTACATGGGCTAAAATTGTTTCAACAAATGCTGAGGTTATTTAAATGAAATATAAATATTTTCGTATCATATAACATAATATAGCTATTAGCTATATAGTACATATACGTTTTAATCGTTTTATATTGTATGCTCTAAACGTCTAAACATATAATATTTACAAACTTTTGAATAGTTAAAAATGTTTTAAGAATAATATCAAATATTTTTTTTGTACCTTATGTAATATGTAAGAAAATGTTTAATCACAGACCTAAGACCTTCAACAACTATATTCATAATGATAATATGATATACAAAAATAATAATTTCTTTATGAGCTAAATATTGATTTTTTATAGAATATCTGTTTATGCACCATACAGTAAATGATTGAAAATCTTTTAATATTGAAAAAGTTAACAAAAATGTATACAATTGCACTGATATCAGTAGGAATACAATTTGTTTTAAATAAAAACTTTTGATTACCTACCTTATATTTAACTAGTACATTTTAAATTTTTAATTCAATACATTTTTAAATTGGTATTTGCATAGTAGTGTATGTATTGACTATTGAAGTACCTACTTTATATTTTTTGTTAAATTTTGGAGGTTAAAATAGTTCATATATATACATTAAAACATAGATACTTTAAGAAATCTTTTTTTATTAATTATCAAGTAATATGTGAACTAATTACCATGACAAATAAGATTATAAAAAGGTGGGTAAGTGGATGTCGCTCTGCTGTACAGTAGGTTACAAGTTGGTCACTGTATAATGGATGCTATTAAATTTGAATTCAATGATATAATATCATTGTATAAGAAAAACGATTCTGAGCGAAGACGGTATGTCAGTCTAGGTTTAAGATAAATTATATACAAATCTATGGTATTAAAAAAAAATTGACCTATAATAAATTCCAAATTAATCATATCACATTATCACAATATCCATTAGGTACTTATAACATGTTATACATCAACATCAATAACAAACCCTGATACTATCATAGGTATATAATAGTACACTTTAGAAGTTTCAAGTAGGTACCCACGAATAATATTATATAATCACAACAAAATAACTAGGTTTTTTAATATGTAATTTCGTCCAAATTTGAACATAAAATGACTATAAAAGTAAACTGTGATTGTTTATTTTTTAGATTTTTCGGTAAGAGAATTAACTACTTACGTGGAATCTTGTTTTAAATTTTCAATCCTTAGCTATAAAAACTGAACATTTTATAATTTATTAATTACGATGATTAATAATTTTCGAGATTTTGAAAAATTCTATCAAAATTCGATGTTAAAATGCTTATAAAAAAAAATTGTGCCTATGTATTTTTAATATTTTTCAACTGATATTGTAACAATATATCAGGAGCCTTGTATTACATTTTTACACTTTTTGGCCCAACAGATAAAACTTAATTAAATAAATAGAAAAAAAAAACTAAAAAAATTGAAAACTGAAAATGTCTGTAAACGGCTCAAAAAGTGTCAAAATATTTTCAAAATTGTAGGGTGTATAGGAAATGCTAATATAAACATTCAGTGAAATTTTCATGTATCTACAGTAATTCGTTTTTTAATTACAACAAAAAAAGGAAATTGCCACATGAGAAATCGAGTGAATATCCAATGTTGTAAAAATTTGAATTTCAAACGCTC